CCAAAAACAGGTGATCGTTGTAATAAAAATGTGTTAATCATAACATACCATCGCGTATATAATCAGAAATAGAGACGAAATAAGGGCCATACAATCCTAGTAACTCATCAGTGATACGTTACTTATAAATATCAACTCTCTTTTGCACTGAAATATAGACAGCGCCAACAACTGACCTGTGTGGACATCTCCGAGTATTCCAAAAATATTCTGTATTTATTGTAATAAAGATAATATCTCTAACAATGGCGTGATGTTCTATTGGGTGAGAAAAACGGCAAAACATTGACTACAAAACAAACGTAATCAAATTTCATCGGTAATTTAATATTAAATATGTAATTTTGCAATTTTCGTCCATTATAGCAAAGCTCAAGTTAACTGGTCAATTTGAAGTTAAACAATTGACGACACCCATTAATGACACCCGTCAATTGTTTCAAATTCGGACTGGCCAATCAAAGTGCAGTTGTCATCGCAATGACATGGTAGAATAGTTTTCAAACAAATTGACATTTCGTCACTATTTCTGGTTATATACTCGATGTAACATACCAATCATGGTAGGAAAAAGGGAGCCTTTAAATTAGACGCTTATAGAAGTCCTGTAGTGTCGTCACTGTAGCGCCTGCAGCCGCGCCACTACTAAGCGCAGTTGCAGCGCCACTGTCGTGACAGTCGCGCGCTATTTTTGCAATCACAGTGAACTATAAACTACAGCAGCGCTACAGACGCGCGGCTGTCGAGCCATAATCGCGCCACTGCAACGTCTCTACAGGCGTCTAATTACGAAAAAATATTTTTGCATAACAACAAAGCTTGAAAGCGCAGAGAGCGCACGCACTCGCTGTCCGTGTATTTCACTATGTAAACTTTAATATAATAATAAATCATTTATTTCGACCAACATGGATCATATAAACATAAAACGATTCAAAGATTTATTACAATTAAACTCAAAAATAAAATTTAGTACAAAATGAAAAATTTATGCCTGCATGCGAGCCGACAGAGGTATCTAGTTACAAAATATTTATTACTATTGATTCACTGATCGAACAAACAAAGTAAAATTCTATCTATCCTGGATTTGAACCGGCGAGCTACGGAACGAATTTGCAGACATTACAAATTTCTCTGTGTTTTTTTTAACATTGTAATATACTTAGCCCCGGATTATTAAAAAAGTCACTGGTTCGTTTCTAGCCGGATTGAAGGGATTTTTCTTTGTGTTTGTTTGATCTTTCTACCAGTAATAATAACAAACTACAGTATAAAGAATTTCAGCGGTCACTTGGTTAACCGGCCAAATACAATATTTAGTGAGTTTCATACGTCGTATTACTGCTGTATTCTTAAATTTGGTCGCATGTTATTAGCCGTCATTTTTTTAAAGGCTGGATTTTAGGTTGTTTATCGTAGAAAAGCTTTGATAAATGTTATTAAACATATTTATTTAAATATTACATTCATATTATACATTAGTACTATTTTAAATAGGTAGTTCGAAATGTTGTGTATCACCTGAAAATATTATTATATTTTAAAACCATTTACAGAAAGTTCATTATAATTTAAAATAAGTAACCAGGTAATGTCTCATAAAATACTTCATTACGGTTTGTTTACACATAATTACATAAACCTTTGTAGTAATAGTGAAGTACTTTAAAAAAAATGGAAACTACATGATATTCATTAAAATAAATGAAGTATGTATTAAAAAAAAAAATCCTTTTTCTGAGTGTTCGAAAAGGATTTTTTTCTGAGTGTTCGATCTTTATATTAATAATTATAAACTAGTGCAGTAATTTCACTAAAATAATTGAATATCAATTCAATAAAAATTTAAAATAAAGTATGTATTGTCAAGCCTTTGTTTGTCATCGCAACAACATTTCCACAGAGATAAGTAGATGGATTTTTCATTGTTATAGTTTTACATTTTTTTCATCAAAGTAAACTATACAAAAAAATGAGTATTAAGGGTAAGGGGTAGCGGTTCCATATGGTCTGGACTCCTGCTATGGATGGGGCATTATATATCTAACCTAATCAAAATTCGGAGTAGTCACCACTAGAGGTAAAAGCTTGACAGCACGATTCAGTATCTATATGTATATTGGGAAGGATATTTATGGAAGAATTTTATTTTTATTTGTTTATGTTAGAATGTTGTTATATAATTTTTTTAATGTTAAGCATAGTTGGAAGCACAAATAATAGTAGATGGCGCTACGGCTAAAAAGTTGTTGAAAACCAAATCCAATCCGTTGCTTAGTTAGCGTCTGCCACGGTTTGCTAGGAGACGTCGGTTCGAATCCGGCAGTCGAAGGATTTTTTTTGAGTGTTCGATCTTTGTATTAATAGTTATAACAAACTAGTGGAGTAATTTCACATAACAATAATTGAATATCAATTCAATAAACATTTAAATACCAGTAACAGGTTCTAACTGAAATGAGTGGACTGCTTTTTTTTACATTTTTTTTAATTCAATATATGCAAACAATGTAAGGTGACTGTATCAACGGTAAAGGGCATTATTATTCTAAGATAATAAAACCTTATATACTTCCCGGCGTAACATCCAGTTAGTTATAGTGTGATACTTTTTGTTTTTGTTGATAATATTAACGGCCACGGCCGAATCGTTCTTGTGCGCCAGTAAACACTAGAGTGTTTGGCTGTGGTAATTATTGTTCTAGTGAATGTAGATTTGTTATTAGTAGACGACTTGATAATACAAAAGTGCTGATTGATATAGACAACGAATGAATTTCTATTAAAAGGTACAACTCTGCCTGCCTGTTTTCTGTGTTTCGAGTTTGTTTCTTACAAGCCTCTTTGCATTATATGTACACAAGTAAAGTATTTCTACGGCATTATTTATTTATACTCATTAATTCACATATAAAATTATGCAAAAATATTAACGGCAGCAAAGAGTAACCGGTTGTCTACAAACTCACGATTTTACGGTAGAGCATTTTGAAAGCAAAAGAGAATCCTTCATGTATTATTTTCTTTATTTTAGCTCATTGAACAAAATGTTAGCTAATTCGGTCTGTTATATCAGAAAATATAAAGGTTTTGTTTTAGAAAAGCTCTTCTATAAAATAATGATTTTGCAGATAACCATTTATTCTTTGCTGCCGTCGATGTATGGTATTAAAAAATATCTTATGCTAACTAAGCAAATTATGGCACTAAAATAAATGAACATTAAAAGGCTAAAATAATAACTAGACTCTAGAAAAGAGTTACAAGTAAAATTTCGGTTTTAGTATTTTTAAAGAAATTAGTTCTTTTTACTGATTACACGAACGGACGGGCAGTATTTCACTCGTTGTCGACGTCACACAAAAATTCCCACATTGGCTAAGGCTAATTAACAACCCTTCCCGGGATGCAGGTTTCTTGAAATTTGTGCCTTATGTACTTGTGTTTTAAATTGTTTTTAATATTTTTCTTTGAGTTTTGTTCGGGTGTGTTCTCGTGTTAATGTGTTTAATTTGTGTGTTCTTAACCGTTAAGGGCTATATCAACAAGTCTCTACAACAAAGCTCTGTACTCCACAGCCCTAAATAGCTGAGTCATAGACACATTTATTTTATTATTCATTTGCATTCTTTTAATTTCAATTAAATATCAGCTATCAGCGCAAAAGTGGTGTAACCCACATTTTATTTTTTTCCTACAATATTACTTTAAATGATGCTAAAGTATGTTATCATGATTAATAGAAAGTTCGGACACTCTGAAAAAATTTCTTGGTAACACGCCTTCTGCCAGACACTATATCAACTAAGTAACGGAACGAACCAGCTGACCTCACGAATTTTTCTATGTGCTTGTTGTCATGTCTTTGTGTTTTGGTTTTTCAACGACTTTTTAGCCGTAACGCCATCTATGAGAAATCTAAGTATTTTGTCACCCAGTTAGATACCTCTATAGCTACCAGCCCCGGCTAGAGATGTCGCTATTCATTGCTTTTAATTTTTTATTGAAATCGTATTCAATTATATTTTACGTGAATTACTCCACTACTTTGTTGTAATGATTAATACAAAATTCGAACACTCAGAAAAAATCGTTATAACAAACTAGTGGAGTAATTGTACATACAAAACAATTAAATATCAATCGGTTCGAGTCCGGCCGGATCGAAGGAATTTTTTCTGAGTGTTCGATCTTTGTATTAATTATTATAACAAACTAGTGGAGTAATTTCACAAAAAATAATTGAATATCAATTCAATAAAAAATTAAAATTGAATATCAATTCAATAAAAATGTAAAATGATGCTAAAGTACTTATTTATTATATATATTTGGATAATATATAATTATTATACGATGTAGTGAATTTAGTTAATTTTAAATCCCTTATTTCTACATGCATTTCATGGGGTTACACCGCTTTTTTATGATACCAAGTAAAGGGCCGAATAAGTCATGCGCCTCGTGGTAAGCGGAACCTCTGATCATAACAGTTGCAGTGCCACTCAGAGCTTTAAGTCACAAACACCTGAAGTGCACTGCCACTACGCCCATCACCCTGAGACATAAGTTGATAAGTCCCATGTGCCTATAATTTCACCAACACCCTTTTGCGCCAATAGCCTCAATTGTACACACATCAAAAGTGCTTGATCAAGCACATTTTTGCCAATTACTGAAAGTCAGGTTTTTTATAATTATTCTTTTTTTAACACTAACAATTGTTTTTTATCAGTTTCATCATTTAATAAATAAATAACTAACTATATATAATTGAATAAATTGATATAGATTTTTTAAAACTTTGATAGGGTAATGAAATATTTAAAAAAAATCCATAATCTCTAGACACTTGATGTGTATTGAATATTATATTAATAATATTCATATAATAATAAATTTACTTACATTTAACATTGATTCAAATCACTACTAACGCCACTATTAAACTTGATCAAAATACCTATCTGCTATCAACTTTTGAACATTTTTTATCTTCAAGTCTGTGTCTTGACAGGTTTCTGGCTAGATTCTTCGTACCCGATGACCAGGTTTTCTAATATGAATCTAATTGTCAGGATGTATATGTTCTCGATATTGTCCGTGTATCGGTCACCTAGGGTTGTCTTCGCTGCTTCTAAAAAGGGTTGCTCGATTTTCTGCAAATCAACAATATTAGGTATATGAATAAACAATAATATCATTATCAACACATTTACACGTTCCACTGCGCGGTATGGGTCTTCTCTCAGGCGAGAGTTTAATAATAACATAATAATAATAATAATAATAACACACACACTCATAGCCCCGCACTACAAAAACGCTGTATCGCGGGCGCCATGGACACACACATAGGTAGACAACCACAAATTACACCCAAACTCACGAGAGAAATAAATGTAGGCCGTACAAATAACTCTCCCGGCCTAGGAATCGAACCCGGGACTTCTGAGTGGCAGTCGAGCATGGTAACCGTTCGGCCACTGAGGCAGTTCGGTTTAGGCCAATAAAGCTCATGGTAAACTTCAAACTAATTTCGCACATACATTTTGAGAAGCTCGGAATATCTACTTGAGTAAATAGTTATATGTAGGTATTAAATACTTAATTATTCTTAAAACACACCCTCAAATACCCTCAAAAACCCAAAATATCCTCCTCCTAACGAACGAACGATGTATCCTTACGAACTTTGTTAACTATATATAATAATTAGCCAGGTAAATATTACTTTTACGTATCCCAATTACTTACCTACTTACCTACTTAAATTCTAATTACGCGAGCAGGCCGTGGTGTGGGCAGAACTAGCCTAACTAATGAGCATAGACCAAAAATGTTCCTTTCCTATGCCATCATTGGTTGCATAGTAACGTCAAATTCAGATAGTAGAGTATAATTTCATTTATTATTTATTATATTTACGTTAGACACCTTATTTTGGCATCACTGCGTTGTTAAATCAAAATAACGAATTACTATTGGTTGCTGAAGTATAGGTCTTCTCGACTCCGTTTAGATAAGTAATGGGCATAGGGCTAGGTGTAAACACCAACATCAATTTTGCATTCGTCTGCACTGGGGTGTCCGCCGCGAATAGAATACAATAAGGATGCGACGTTTGTGGGTGGACACAGGTTAAGATTTGGGTCCATTGAAATGGAAAACCTTAAAACATGCGCGGAACTAATTGGACTTATTTATAGTGGAACGATTTTTCTTACACGGACTTAAAAATTTACTAAAAAACTTTTTTTATAATACCAAGTGACGGGACGAACAAGTCGTGCGCCTGGTGGTAAGTGACCTGTCCATAACAGTTACAGTGCCACTCAAAGCTTTAAAATGCAAAGATTTGAGGGGACTGTCACTGCACCCGTCACCTTGAGACATAAGTTGACTAGTCCCATATGCCTATAATTTCACTGTCACCCTTTCAACACCGGAACACAGTTAATGAATGTTCACGTTACTGTTTGGTGGCAGAAATAGAAAAGGTGGCGCAGTACTTCTCTGAACGAACTCTTTCTCAAGGAGTTCTACTGATACTAAAATGTTGTGCCAGACAAACACATTAACATAAGCACACAACACCCAGAACATGACTTTTGAAATTGTTTGTGTACCATATTTGTTCTACGGAGATTCGAATCCGGCACTTCCTCATTAAATCATCCGAAATGCTAACTGCTGGGCCACGGAAGTCGTCAAAATAAACGTAGCCCAGCAATAACTAAGTGAAAGGTATTAGGTATAGGGTCAAGTACATGTCAAGTTTGACACTTAAGATTTAAATCCAACTCTATGCCGCTTACGATAAGAACAGTCCAAAGTACAGTGTCAAGCTTTGGCGTGCTCTTGCCTGTACTACCTTACCAACTAAGCTATACATTTCATTTCAATGAAATCCAATTTATTTCCCTGCAGCAAATTCATCGTGATATTGGAAAAGAACTCATTTTGAGATTTTCAAGTAAATCCATTCTGTATCAAAATGATCGCGGCTCTGATTGGTCGCCGTTCCACCCGTACCAATAACACGATACCTTCTACAATAAATGAGGGAATAAAGAAATTATGTAACGTAGTATATCATAAGTAGATAACTTTTTTCATTACATTTTAATTGGTAAAAATAAAAGAATTATTTGACTCCTCACAACCAGTGACTTCTATCATTTTGCAATAGGTATAAGTGTTGGGTTCATTACATGCAGAAGAATTTTATTGAGGACTACACAAGTAGATGTATTTATTTGATTAAATAAAATAATAATGTAAAATTAAGTTTTGTAGCTGCAGAGCTCCTTGTGATAGAGTTCGACAAGGGAATTTATTCTAGCTTGAGATCAGGTAATTGGTGCACTTGTAAGATATTATTATTATTATGATACTAATATCATAATAAAAACCGTTAACTTCATAAGGGAATTTGCGTAAGTAAATTGCCAAACTTAGCCATTCGAGAAATATGGGTTTAATTAAGCGTTTCTTAAGACTGCTCTCTAATTACCAATTATTATTAGTTTGATATTTCGCGGCTTGTTTGACTTGGTAATAATTTCAGGAGCTGGTGTTTTAGATTAAGTAATTATTAATTAGATCAAAAAACTGGTAGAAACTTCCAGAGTGATTGGGTATTTCGTTTTTCTTTGAATGTAAGCTTATTATTATTATTAGCTCAAGTGGCTTTGGTTCATTCCGCACAACAGTGAAAGTAAAATTGAGGATATGCACTGACTACTATGCGCTGTGAAAACATGATTCCTAAAAGTGTTCACGATGAAAAAAAAATCGCTTTTCCCGAAATTTTACAAAAAATCGCTGTATTTAATAGGTTTTTTACATATACCAATGATTTTTTTGTAACAAATGAACTAAATAGAACACGAATATTACACGATATACATTTTTCAAATGGCTGTAATTTCGTTTGTAAAAAAAAATTCTGAAATAAAGCCAGTGTCCCTGCCAATGGATGGATGCACAATGAACCGTATTAGTACGGGAAAAATTCGAATTCGAGCTGCGATAGTATCGGCTTTTAAAAAATATATATTGTAATATCCTGTGATATCAAGAAATGTGAGAACGGTTTCACACGGCGATTAGCAGCGCGCTTGCAGCGATTCAATCGCGACGCAGACCTTTCGATCGCGATGCAATTGCGATGCACGTTTCCAATTATTCAACATATGCGACTTTCAGAAACGCGCGTGTGTATCGCTGCCGAAAGTCGCCATGTGTATCCGCCTTGAATTGATTATGTTCAAATGTATTTCAGCAAAAGTTTTGAGTAAGGGACTTACCCAAAAATATTCAGCCTTAAAACCTGGAACCTGATGGTGGGTAGCTCCAACGTGTCTCACATAAGCGAAAAATGCGTTGACGTCTCCTAAACTCTTGATACCTTCATCCAGTGTGTGCATGACCTTGGTCGCATGTTCTGCCAGCTCTGCTGAGGTCGTCAGCTCGTGTTTTGAGCCAATTTCTTGAAATTTCTCGAACAATTGTAGTAGATCTTCGTTTTCTTCGAATAACCTGGAAATTTGATTTTTTGTTTGTTTTATTAAGAGCTTTCGGATTGCTTTCGAGGTTTTAATTGATGAAGACTTGCAATGTGATATCTAAGGCATAAATAAATAATTATTTAGAACCAACATAGTTGTAGAGCTACATGTGAAAAACCTATGAAAGTCTTTTCTTCAATAAAATAAATATTGCAATTGTGAAGCAACTATTTTTTTGGGTATCCAGACTCTGCATTTCTCAAGTCAATCTGAACAGCAACTTTTAAACAACAAATCCACTTCTCAAATCAAAATTGAAATTACGCATAAATTCTAATTAACATTCGAATTACACAATTCGCTTGCAAAAACAAGAATTATTCGAATCAACATTTATAGTGGAATTTCCGTCTCCAAAGAAAGTCTCACGAATTCTTTAAATTTGTACGAATTGGGATCGTCTCATGCTTCGGTACCGATCTCAATTACTAAAGAGAAAATTGGACGTGGTAACTTTTTTTACATGCTATATGTATAAATAAATAGCTTGCAATAAACCTACTGTCTTTTCGATTACTTAGCATAGGTAGTTATGTTACGAAGACATTAGAATCAACAGAGCATAGTTCACTATTGCACAAAGGCATCTTCAATAAGGGAAGTCTTATCATACTCAGTCAGTCTTCAGTAAAGTCGTGCCTATAGGGAAACGTCGCTGTAGTCCACTTTCTAAATATGGGGAGAAATTTAAGCTGTTTTGAAACTTAAGGGACGATAGTGTCCGTCAGTACAGACTAAACTTTATTGATGAACGCTTTTACGGCATTTAGTCATGTGTCACCGCCTCGTCTATTTCTTTCCCAAAGTAGCACGGCTGTGTTTTGGATTAAATGGCAGTAAGAACCAGCGCAATCATAGGTTACAGAATAACGGTCATACATTATCCCACGATCAGCAACGAATGCCATTTTCCATCATGTGAACAGTTTGATCGTTTGCCGGTGTGAAAACAAAAAAACCACAAGTGTGATATCGGTATCCTTCATGATATAAAAAGGAGTTATTTCTTTATTTATTTTACAAAATATTCGTACCAATTCGACCAAAACATATTAAATTAGCCAATTTTTTTTTAAGTTGTGAAAGGTGTTTGAAATTGGTGGGAATTATTATCGCACGTACTTAGTTTTTATTTATCCCTGTAGGCATCATACACAGGAAAATTCTGTGGTAATAAAAAACTGTCAAAAAGTCACATCTGCCGCATGAACCCAGAAAATTGGGCATTTCATTACCAATAAAAAAAGATGGCCGTCGCCGTCGCGGTGGGCCGCTGAGTGATTGGCGAATAGACAGAGTTGGAAGTCCGAGGAGGAGTTATTTATTCAAGAAACGAAATTAAGGCAAAAAGCATCTAAATCCTTTATAAGAAAACAAGATGACTTATCGCTTATTTTAACACATTTCCGTAATTTTCTTCAAGAATGTTTCCGCTCCTGAGAGAAAACTAGAAAATTATTAGGAACTAATATACCTTATGTATATATTGAGTATCCGATGAAACTTCAGAGACTATACTCATAACAACAAAGAAATATAGTAGTCATAAAATTTAACATCGCAATAATATTTCCATATGCAAGTTTCTTTTGATAACTATAGCATTGTTAACTGTACCATTTACCATAAAACCATAGAAATAATAAAGACATAATAGGAAGGTCACGACCTTTACTAAAAAGGGATTGACGACGAAGAAGGAAGCCATAGTTCATCCTACCGACCCATCTCGGCATTCACAATGGGGGGACAAAGTTGCGACATGGATGCGGCGCCATTTCTTTTGAAAGATACCTGTTTTGACCTGTAATTTTCTCTGCCATTTTGATCGACCTATTGCTACATGTGTACACGACACAAACACGTCTTCTGTCATCTAAACGGCACTTTCGTCGTCTGTCTTTAGCTCAGTATTATTAGAAACGTATCTCAAGTCAGTTTCTCAACCTTTTGCTTCAATATCGTCGTTTATTTATTTATTTGTAACAGCGACATCAAGAATGTCTTAGTTTCTGTTACTAAAGCAGGTGATATATTATTATATTTACCTACAATTGACCAACGATAAACAAGAAATTTAATTAAGCTACAAATACTAAGTAAACTAAGCCCTGTAACACTTAGTAAAACAAATAACGCCTAGTAACTTAATACCAGGTTAATTATTACGAGCGTAGGTTTGTTTAACATATGACGTCATCTTTCATAACGTATAAATTCGATTTTATTTTGATTTGTGTCTGTTTGTTTGTGTATTTATTGAATTTCACCCAGTTCTGTTAAACGATTTCAATAAAACTTGGCAGATAGCGACGGCCCCACCGCATAAACGTGTACAAGCTTTTACTGTAATATTATTTTATTTTATTTTTGGATTTTCACGCCCAAAATACACCTGATAATTCTTTTTTCAGATTTATTTTCTTATTAATTTTATAATTATTCGGTGCCTACTCCGATGTTTATTCTACGGAAAATAAAATCAACAATCTCGCATGAATATTGCAAGCATATATTTTGCACACTATTTACTCTTGTATGTTTATAACAAACTAACTTTGTAATATTGTTCGTGGGAATCTTTAAAAAATTTTAAAATTGTAATGCACTTTTGCACTTGTCAAATTTATGATCCATTACTAGAATAACCATGTAACTATGTAATTTTTGCACTGAGACATCTTCTTATCCACAGTAAAACAAAGTAATATTATGTTACATTTAAAATAAATATATAATTTTCATGTTTCATATTTTAACATAAGGATATAATGTTTTTTTATCTTTAGTTTGGTCATACATTGTATTTAAGAATGTCTAATCACCAATGAGTAATATTTTTAAGTTTATGACCGCTCCTGTAACGTTGCGGTTTTTCCTTTACACGTTTATTCGGTGGGGCCTAGACATGTGTGCCGATCGTAAAATTATCGGCGGCGGCGTCTGATAGTTTTTTGACCGGCGGCGGCGGCTTGGCGTATAATTTTTAGGTGTTTAAAAAAACGCTTAAACATTGAAACGAAATTAAGCCGAAAAGCAATCAATCATTATCATTTAGCGCGGATCAAGCAATGATGCCGCAGGCAATTAATATATCTGTTATTGGATATCTGTGATCAAGAGATCTAACATTCTTGTTGTTAAAGTTGTTGTAATAATCAATTTATGATGTTCAGTCTTCTTTAGTATGTCTTCATTTCATTTCTTAAAACTAATCTTTAATGTATTGTGTATTTTGAATCCAAAGTCAGTATTTCCACGGCCGTGCGGATTTTTACTCATTTTATCAATTTGTTGCATAATATGCCATTCACCATCGGTCACTTGTAGTAAATTTTTAAGTTGGTTTAACTGTTTGAGTGGCACTGGAATGAGTCTTTATGGCACGGTATGGCACTGTCTTGATTATTTTCGTCAGTCAGTCAAATAGAATATTTTAACAAATTAACACGAACAAATAAATTAGGTTACTATGTAAATTTAGTATGATAGGATTAGGACAAGAGTATGTAAAGACATAATTAACGCCGATCAAATTCATCGACGGCGGTTGCGTGGAAAAATCGACGGCGGCGGCGGCGCGGTGGCGCGACGCACTTATCTACACCAAGTATGGGAAGACGGTTTCCTCTCAAGAGGCCGACGGCTTAATCCCTGTCGAAGCATGTACCTGTGTCTTTAATTTCTAAATTATATACATTTGTATATTTAGTAGCAATACCTCTTGCCAGTGGTAAAAGATGAAGCTAGTCGATGATGTTCACAACATGTGGAAAACGTGTGAAGTCCTCAACCTTCATTGGGACTATGGCCCAACGCATCTTTCAGAAGAGACCTGTGCCCAGGCTGTGAGGTCGAATGTGAGTTTTTCGGAATTTATATGCAAAATTTACATTAAAATTTATCATGAGCTTTTCGATAAAGGAAAGCATCGTGATGAAACCTGTACATCAAAGAAAGTTTACAACCTCGGAAAACGTGCATTTTTATATATAAAATAAGAGCGCATTTAACCTCCATCTCACCTGATGGAAATTGACAATGAGGTCGACGATGTAGCAAGCACACCTCAATACCTATTCAATCTGGCCTTGAAAAGGTCCAAGTTATAGCGTTAGCTGGTCGCCATGTAAATCGATGGGTCCTAATTTCAATTTGATCATTTTCACTCCTTTGTGGGAAATGCTGTAAAAGTGAAAATGATCAAAATGTTTTATTGGCCCTTGTACTAAGAACCCATCGAAATGTGGAAGTGTGAAGTTCCCAACCCGCATTTTGCCAACGTGGCGGTCAATGGCTGAAACCCTCGCCTGAGAGGAGATCCGTACCCAGCAGTGGATAAATGGGTTGATGATAGTGTACATATGTTGAGTAGATATGTCGGAGTTAACAAGGAGATCGGTAAATGGTCCTCTTTTGGAGGGACCTATTTCCTGCAATGCTATAACTCAAAGAGAATGTGCCCTAAAGACTATTACGAATAAAATTTAATGTATGAATAGAGCTATATATATACCAACAACTAGATAGAGAGGTACTCAAATCATGGCAGGAAGATAAACTTTCTACTGGTAGGCTAGTAAGTGCTTGGGGATATTACGCCTGGCGTATGGCGTTTTTTGTATGTACGTTACGCGATATATATATATATATATATATATATATATATATATATATATATATA